ACAAAACCTCCCCTTCCTCTATCAAGCACACAAACAGTAATTTATGTTGGGGGACTTTCATCACTCCTAACAAACAAAAACAAAACAAAACCTTACTCATCCACATGAATCATTATTCAAATTGGTCTATTCTAATTGTGACTTGCTATGCTAAAATAAATTGCACTTAGAGTAAGTCCATTTGAATCACTGAAACCTAATCTGGATTGATTTAATGTGCCTCCTCTAGTGCCATATCCTAGGCTAAGCAACAGGATCTTGGCACTATTTGTTTAAAAACTAACAATTTAACTAAGAAAATATTACTGATTCAACACAGCAAACTGTTTACACTTTAAACACCAGCAGTAATAAATTAACTCCTTCCCTCTGCCTTTCATTTAACAGTTGCCAACACTCAAATTTTCTATAAAAACCAAATCTACAGAAGAATTATATAAGTTTTATGATGACAATGAAAAAATTGAAATTGCTAAAATGATGGTTCAACCATCAATCCAAATGAAGATGGCAGCTAAGAACTCAAAAGAAGATTGAGACTTGGAAGAGAAGGTATGAAAGAGCTAGATAAGATACTCAAATGCAATGAAGTGTCACCAGAGAAATGACTCATAAAAGAGATAAAGAAAGTTGAGATATATCTATGGGTAAGGATATATATACTGACGACAAACAGGTTGATAAAGAAAAAAGGAAAGGAAAAAGAATGTAATAATAGCAAATGTAGTGTCTGGTTAACTCTGTAGCTCAAGTATTATAGTTTTATTTATATATCTTAATTTTGTAATTTCTTTTTATTTCTTTTCTTTACTTCTTTTTTGTCTTTGGTCTTGAGTTGGAAGTGATTTGATGATATGTAACAAGACCAGAATTCAATTTGTAATTTATGCTTATATGAGAGAAATTAAGGAAACTTGGTGGCAGATTGCTTTTGAGTAATGACATGCTGGCTGGATTCCTGGGCAGATCAGGCACACACCAAGGAAGGCAATCATCAGTTTGTTAATTAGCAACAATTTGCCTCACAACTTGTATATCATTATAAGTTGCACTTAAGCCACTACAGAAGGTCTATGAGGTCGCATCCCTCTACTTGGCTATGATCTATTAAAAGCTCATCATGTTGTTTCCTAAATCCTATGGAACCTGTCCTTGAAGCCAATATGGTGTTAATCACTTCCATTACATATCCTTTCTCTCTCTCTCTCTCTCTCTCTCTTAAACATTTTATTAGTTTTTCAATATATCTACATTCAGTTCGTGCTTGTTAAACATTGTGTTACATGGGTTGCTTATAATTACTTGTTTTTTGCGTCTTGGTGTCTTCTTAGTTGTACCTTCAAAATCTATATATTTTTCTAACCTTTAAACCATTCATGTGTGTATTTTAGTGCATAATATTGGCTACTATCATATAATATTGCTCTCATAGTATACAATATTCTCAAAATCTTCTAATAGCATACCTAATAAAAGTAATTATGGTTTCAAATCTATATAATTTTGAGGTGATTTAACCAGCTTTGTATTTTATACCAATAATAACTAAATAGGTTCCAACACATAGTCAATGTTATCTAAAGCATTTTATAGAGATTTTCTTTATATAATTGTTTAGCCATTTCTAGCTCTACATTTTCTAACATGTCTATCAATATCACATCTAATATATGTTAAGTACTATTTATTTTACCTCATCCTTATATCCTTATTCAATTTACCATAAAAACCATTGTATTATGCCTTTACTCTTCCTGATTAGTGATCCCTTATTGCAGTATAATTTCTTTTTCTAATATATAGGATATGTCCCCCTTACAATTCCAGAAGTTATGAATATACATGCTTTCAATGTTGAAGGCCACCTTAGTATTTTTTCCCTTTTCATCTTTCTAAGTAACACCTTCTCTTGTTTGTCTTTTCCCATTTCTTATTTCTATTTCTCTACAAATTCTGCCATTCCTTATACCATCTGATAGCCTAGAAGATCTATTGGAGATAGATCAAGTCCAAACAGCCATAGAGTGTTCAAGGACATTGTTCTAGGCTTTTTGCCAACACTGTAGGTATCTGTAGCCATAACATAAACAAGTTTAACTTCCCAGAGATGTTTAACTAATGATGGATTTAACAGAGAGATTCTTAAGTTTCTAAGGACAAAGTAATACCAAACTTCCTTCTCTGAAGTATAATTAAATGTCTAATTAATGTCCAATTTATTTTGTGTCTCTTTGCGTCTCTTCTCTCTCTCCAGATTTATCACTGCTCTGTAAGTGGTGGGGATAGGAAATGCTATTTCTGTAGGGATTGTCTTGTCCAGGGATAGTCATAAAGCAGTACTTTGTAGTTGTTCACTTAAAAATATTTCTCACCCAGTTTTAACACGATGTTAATTAGCTGATTTATTGCTTCTCCATTGCCAGCTGCTGATGACTTGCAAGCAAGCTATTTCAGCTGCTTGTTTCAACCCACTGGTTGACTGGGAGCTTCCTGGATCAAAGGGGGTAATCGCTGTTCCCTCTGTGATCAACAGGCTTTCCCCCCATTTCACCACTTCTTTGGGGTGTTTTTAACCCCCTGGGGGGTCCCAAACAGGTCAGAATTCAGCCCAGAGGACGGAGCTCCGTCCTCCTCCTCCTGTCTATTTGCAGCGTCAAGCTGGAAGTCCATTACATGTCCTTCCTCAACTATCTCTTTCAAGAGCCACACATGTAGTTGGAACTGCTCTGCATCAGCATATAAGATCTTACTTTGACTGAGAAGATTCCCTATTCATGGGTATGTGGAAGTTGAGTCATGGCAACTGGACTTCTTATTCGGTTGAAACATTTCACTACTCATCCAAGTAGCTTTTTCAGTCTGAGGAGAGTTGGTAGGAGACCCCTGATATCTTCCATGTTGGTTTCACTTCCCCCTGGTCTGAATAGGTTTCTTGGATGACTGAAGAAGCTACTTGGATGAGTTGCGAAACATTTAAACCTCATAAGAAAGAAGTCCAGTTGCCATGACTTAACTTCCTGATAACCTCACCTGGATGGTTGAGAATCTTCACAGATATATTCCTGGGTATTGTTAACTCCATTTGAGAACCCCATTTGAGCGATATTCAGGATGTTTAGAAGCCAAATCTATCTGGGCAGTATGGAGCTTTAATATTATGTAGCATTTCCTTACATGTATCCTCCTCAGCAGCTCCCTGAAAATGTTGAGGAAATGCATAAGGAAACCTGGAGGTGCTGCCAGTGCATTGGCTGCTTCAGTCTCTTCCATTCAATACCTGAAAAAGAACTTCCTCACCTTGTGATTGAGATGAGAAGCGAAGAGGTGCACTATCAGTGCTCCGAGGCAAGATGTCACCTAGGTGAGTACCTCGCGGTAGACTATATTCTGAATGATCCACTTCCTTCCGGACAAGCCATTTGCTTGTCTTGTTCATGGTTTCCTGCAGATCTACAGCCTTCAAATACCTAAATGACACTCAGATTATTAACACAGCAGTCTCTTTCATCGGGATCCTGGATTTTTTTAATGTCTTACTGATATGCACTCTTGTGATCATATTGTCTGGGCACAGCCACATAGCTTTCCACTGAGATGAAAAAGAACCAGCCTGCCTGCCCTCAACTCCAGCCAATTTATATTATTGATGGCTTCCTGATTAGATGACCTGCATTATCCTGGAGTCCAAAAGGGCTTCCATGATCCATTAGGCATGTGATTGATAAGACTGATGTCCCTTACTGCTTGCTTCTCTGTTCATGACCTGATAAAAATGCCATCCAAGAACAAGATTATGTGGATTTTTGTGTCCTAATGTGAACTACAAAGGTGACAAAAACCTTCATCCACACTCTGGCAGACAAAGACTGGCTGAATGGAAGGTCATTGTACTGGAAATATCTTCTTTGTTATGGAAACCTGAACTATTTCTTGAGATGAAGATAGAATGTGTTGATAAGCCTCTATGAGCAACGTCTATCTTCTACCCCTCCCTCACCATGTTTATGACCCACCAGTCTTGTGGTGAAGGTTTTCCAGATATGAGCAAACTGCTGGAAGCAAGCACTTACCTGTTTCGATCTTGTTTCACTTCCTCTGAAAGCTTCCCCTCATTTCGCTCAGAGGACTGGGATCTTCCATGAATCAAGTGGGGAAGGACATTTATCCTAAACGTTGCTGTGTTTAGACTTTCTAGTGCACATGTATGTTTTTGCTAGCCAAAGAATACTTGAGTGTAGGTTTGAGATGCTCTTTAGAATGGTTTCTAGTCTACTAGTTTACTTTCAAGACACATTGGTCTTTATGTACATAAAAACCCATTTCAAGAAACAGCCCACAAATAAGACATTGATTAACCTTGGAGGAAAATTCGTTCATCAATCCTGTGTCATGAATGTCTTCTCTGTAAATTTCATATGTGGTATAGTGTACAGAGTCATTAATTTAACTGTGAGACTTTTGTCACCAAACAGTGTTGGGCCAGTCATTCAGATTTAGCAATCGTGCAGACTTGTTAAGAACATAAATTTCCCATCCAAGAAGAGAAAGATAAAAATTTGATAAATAAGTTACAGTATCTACAGACCTCTATTGTGTTTCCCCACAACAATGTTATGTTCTCTACCACATTGCATTTCCCCCTCTTTTAGGTCCATGGCCAAGAAGCCACCAAGTTCAGATAACTATTTTGGTAATTCCTGGGAAAAGTAAAAAAAGAATTTGCAATTCCACAGTAATATGCTCACTCTGCGATAGACTGCAAAAGTTGGTTTAGAGTATGGTAGGCACATAGGAAATGGTGACATGGGTCAGTTTACAAATGGCCAACAGTCTAAGCTGTCATATTTGCTTTTAACAAGGAGTCTGACTGTTACCTGAAGAGTTATCAACAACTTTTAATTCAAATATTCAGCTAAAAACACAGGAAGTTCGCTGCTTGCCAGACTTAAATATGCTGTTATAAAAGGGTACCATCACAATATTCAAACCAGACAATTCTGTTGTGTATTAGATGCATGTATATTTCAGATCTGACAGCAGCAGGTAAAATACAGATCTCTAATAAATTAAGGATTACAAACAATCTCCAGATTCAACAGCACAAGTACATACAGTACCAAAACAAGACTATGAGTAACAAATGAGTTTGTTAAAACATATCATAATAAATGAATTAATTGGGGAAAATAGGTTAAAAGCATTCTTTTCAGCTTCACAAATATGTCTTTATTTCAATATTATAACCAAATTTCAAATTATTACAGACATTACTTTTTGTTCCATGTTTGTATTCTGCCCAAATGAAATACTTTTACATCTCTAAAAACACACATCAATGGAGGAATTAGTACACTAATCCTTATTTTAAATAGTCGTGCAGTATAAAAAATACAGCTCTAGGACACACACATACACACACACTCACACACACAATTTTAATTTGAATAAGTCTCTAAAATGCTCATGAAGTATTCAGCTGATGTTTTAGGTTAGGTATGAACTGTGATTTACTAAGTGCAATTGTTTTTCAAAAGGTGAAAACAACATAATGCTTAAATTGCATCATTTTTATCTCTAAAGAAAATAATACAAATTTCTGGAAAAATTGATAGGTAACAATCAGTGTACAGCTGAGCTTGTAGCTACACAACCTCATTAATCCCAAGACCCCAAACTTTAATTTTCACAATACATATGAAGGTACTTCTTCATACACACTGGGATACACTGATCCTACCATGTCAGGGTCTTAAGTCTTTTCAGTTCAACTAATTTAAAGTAATTTATGTCAACAGTTAATCTAACCCTTTTAACATTAAATTATTAGCTAATACCTGCCAACAGTAGAAACAAAATGCCTTCTTCAAATAGCATCAGCATCTTCTTAGAGGAGCAGTGAAAACTGGCTTCCAATACCCCTGGTATTTTAGTCATTTGAGCATGTTATTGATTACATGGCCTAGTAACATTCTGATTATGCCACTAACATTCTTATTCCACAAATTCTATCCCCACGTAAGAAACACAGCGTGTTGTGGAATATCAACTACAAGTCCTTTCCAAGTGAGTCAATCTCATCAAGTAAGAAGTCTATGTCCTCACGGATCACCTGGGGGCTGATAATGACTTGGCGGAAGAAATTAACTTTGCCCTGATGAGGCTGGTACCCCAACATCATGCTCCCTTTCTTCACCATTCTCTCTTTAATGACAGGTGCAACCTGAAGGAAAAAGGAGAAGAGATCTATTCAGAATTTCAATTTGCAAAGAACCGTGAAAGATCAATGGTCATGATGAAATCCTTTCCCAGAAGAAAAGAAAAGGAAAATTAGTTTGAAATCGTATTGCACTTGGCATAGCATAAAGTTATGCTTGCAGAAGGTCTCAGGAAGCTACACCCAGACAATCCACATTCTGTGCCTGATTATGTAAATGACTGTGCAACTGGTTGCACAACTACATCTGCAGAACTTCTTGCTGGATATAACACCTGCCTTGGTGCAAATTTCACAACTGCTTCTCTAGTTTGAAGTTATACAGGCATAGCTACCCAACAGGTTCGATAGATTCTATATGTTTTCACTGGATGTCTGTAAAACCTTTTTTTGTACCCAACGCAATAGCAAGGAAAATAGCAACACAAATAAAGCATACAATGGATAATTATATGCATCTCCAAAATGCTAGTGATGCACACTAGAAATCAATGTGCTTCTTTATGTTAGCTTGTTTTCCAATTACCTGTTTCAAAAAGGCAAAATTTTGATTAGTTAATATACTTAGGAAGAAACTGTTACTGTTGTTACATGTGGCCAATTCATTTCCAATTGATGCTGACCCTATAAATGAGAGATCTCCAAATATCCTGTTCTCAACAGCCTTTCTTAGCTCTTGTAAACTCAAGCCTGTGGGTTCTTTTAGGGAGTCAATTCATCTCATATCTTGTCTTCTTTCTCCCCCCTGCTGTCTTCAATCTTTCCCTGCATTATTGTCTTTTCAGAGAATCTTGCCTCCTCATGATGTGCTCAAAGTATGACAGCCTCAGTTTCATCATTTTTGCTTCCCGAGATAGTTCAGGCTTGATTTGCTCTAGGACACATTTGTTTGTCTTTCTGGCAGTCCAGGGTATCCACAAACCTCTCCTCAAGCACCACATTTCAAACAAATCAATTTTTCCCTGCAAGCTTTCTTTACTTTACAGCTTTCATACCCATACATCATATGGGATACATAGTAAGGATGGTTTTGGTCTCCAGTGATACATCTTTACACTTGAAGTTCTTTTTTAATTCCTTCAATGCAGTCTCAGTTGTGTTCTGATTTCTTAGCTGCAGAAATCTCAATTTCTTCATTGTTGACATTAATGTTGTATAATTCTTCTGTTGTCATAATTTTGGTCTTCTTAATCTTTAACTGCAGTCTTGCTTTGGCACTTTGTTCTTTCACTTTAACTATAACTCCTTAATACCAGTAAGATAGTGTCATCTGCACATTTTATATTATTGATGTTCTGTGCACTAAAAATTCTGTATTATTACAGGAGCATGCTCCTGTAACAACAACAGTAACAAGATTGGTGAAAGAAACATCAATAACTTAAGATGTGCAGATGATACCATCTTACTGGCACAAAGCAGCAACGATTTGAGAAGAGAATTACTGGGTAAAAAACCTCAAAACACTTCAGGTTAGATTCTGCTTTCTGATATCATCTGTTTTCAACATCAGTGGTCATTCCCCAGATTTACATCTCCATTAATAACAACTAGTATTGGACTCTCTTCCATCCACTTTTCAATAGGTTTGCATTACAAAAGCAATGAAAAACTTATCAGCATACACTGCTGTGGTAACATGCAACTAACCCATTTTTCTCTCTAGCAAAAATGACATTGGTCTTCTGACATGCATTTGCCAGCTCTTTGGAAACGTCATTTTCTGCATCTTATTTCATTCTGCTCCACTCTCATAACCAGGACCAGTATGCATATGAACCCACTTTACAGTACACCATACTATTCTATTATACTGGATTCACATGAAGGTTCTTTCCCACCATGCTGATCTATGCTTGAATGTATTTGTTACCCCCCCAGTGATCTTTGGATGGCTCTTAAGAACAATATCCATCAAGAACTCTGTCACCTCCAAGGACTGTCAATGATGTATAACTAGCGCGATTTATCACCATACGGGATTCTTGCATTTCTATTACATTTTATATTTCTACTTCTCTATTACTGTATGCATGACTGTGTATTCAAGCTATGCATCTGAAGAAGTGGGCTACAAGCCATGAAAATTTATGCCGAATAAAATTTGTTAGTCTTTAAAATGCCATGGGGGCCTTTTAGGTATGAAACATCATTTCTCCAAAATCCATTTCTAGTAACAATGAAGATATGTGAAGTTTGTTTTGATTTTAAGGTGCACCAAGCAGAAGAAGTAGAAATTCTGAACCAGCGTAATTTTGTAGATGAGAGCAAACAAGCTGAAGCTAAATCCTGTGAGCTGGATAGAGAAGTGAGCCTTTCTTTGCATGGGGCTGCATTTCTTCTGAAGAGTCAGGAGTCGGGACACAGTTTGGAGGTATTTTTGGGCTTGAATTTCTGAATGAAGTTGCAAGAGGCTTCAGAGGGCAATGAGTGCTTTTCACCAGCTTCAGCTGGTTTGACAACTATGGCCTCACCTGGACAAAACAAATCCTGTCTCAGTGACTCCTACTATAATCAAGTCCACACTGGGTTATTATAATACAATGCGTCTGGAGTTTAAAGAACTTTAAAAATATAGTTGAAGGGGGTCTGTGGTAAAGAAAAGGTTAAGAACCACCGGTCTAGAGAACTTTAGCTAATGGATGTTTTAAAATGCATTAAAGAAATACATTACTGACTGAAATCCTGTTCAGGTTTATTTGTTTTTGGTTTTATTTCTATCAGAGAAAAGGCAGAAGGAGTAACATTCCCTTACTTCCATCTGGAAATTAAAGAATCCCCAATAGTATTCTTGAGTGCTTACCAAACTGGTGGGTTTGGTAAGCACCCTTGAGATTTGCAATGTGGCTTTTAAATTACCGATTGGAAGTGGCATCATCTGCCTTCTACCAGTATTTCAGCCATTATCTCCTAGCTATTGTTTATATAAGGCATTGTGAAAGTTTGAAGTCTGTTAATAAAGCAATAAAGAAACATGCTTATTTACTCTATCTTTGCTCATAGTAAATAATGCTTTTGGGTTTTAATCACAGCCAGAACTCAGCAGGATTTTTGCTAATGCCAGAAATAACTACTGGTGTAAACAAGATAATCATAGAGCGAAGAGTGCTTCTGAATAGTGTCTTCCCCTCAGCATAGCACAATTACTTCCAGACCTAAACATCTGCAATAGGAGGCAAGGGCTAGATCAAAGCACAAGCTATAACCCTCATACACTCTATTAGTCTAGCATCTATATCTAACAAGCCTAAGCTTGAAACAGGATACAGTGCACTCCTATGCGTGTTTGCTCAGAAGTAAATCCCACTGAGTCCAAAACGACTTATTTCCCATCGAGTGTAATTTTAAGGCTGCAGTCTCAGTATGTGATCCTGGCTTGAAACTGTGTTCTATTCCAGCAAATTTGTTCCATTCCAATAAACTGCATTCATAATCAGGATGTTATTCATGATACCGCTGCTTCATTAAAAGCACAGTACAGAACGTCATCCAAGGGTAGTGGAACCCAGGTCTTTCCACACTGTGGAGGACTTATTTAGAAAATGCAATTCTTTAAAAAACTTCAAGTGTATGAATGTGAGATATTGTGCATCTGCATCTAGAATTCAAAATGCCAGGAAATGGCCCAATATTGTGACAAAAGTCCAAAAAGTCCAAATGGGAGACCTGAGTCTCGAGATGTATAAAAATATTGGTAATACAGATATTATTATCTAAAAAGCTCAGGCTCGGCACATTTTGGCTGTGGCCTTCTTCAGGAGTTAAGCATAAAATAAATATATATATTAATTTAATATATTATTATCTTCTTTTTTTATGCTTAGCTCCTGAAAAGGGCTACAGCTGAAACGTGTCATGACTGAGCTTTTTAGATAATAAAATTTGTATTGCCAACATTTTTATACATTTTATTTTATAAAAGTCACCCATTTGGACTTTTACCACCAGTGGATGTACCAGTTTCCTCTGCTTTGTTGCACAATATAATGCCTGCTAGCAGGAAAAAGGATGCCAAACTTTACATAATAAAGGTTAGCCTGAATGTTGCAATCACCCATGTCAGCAGTCAAGATAGTCTACAGCAAGGGTCCCCAACCCCCGGTCCGTGGCCCGGTGCCGGGCTGTGGCCTGGGCCAGACTGGGCCGCAAAGACATCTTCCTGCCACTCACGCACTCCTGCCCCTTGCACACCTCTTTTGTGCATGTGCGAGAGCTCCCCCACCCCTTCACAAATGCGAGTGCCCCCGAGCACCCCCCACCTTCACGCATGTGCGTGAGCATGGGTGGTTGGGGACCCTGCCTTCCTTATCCAGTCAGTGGAGTTAAAAAGTTGGGGACCACTAGTCTACAGGATACCCCCTTGAGTATACTACCACTTTTTCTAGGCATTTTGGTATCTAGAGAACTTGTTAAAAAACAGCCCTGAAATTTGTGTTTGGGTGAGAAATAAAAGGAACCAAGTTCTCAGATTTAATGAATTAATATTCCCCCCACCCGGTTTGCCGTCTCTTTGTGAATGATAGTGAGATGTGAAGCTGATTTCCCCTTTCAAAACCTATATAAGTAGTCTGTTTAGTTTCAGAAATCCTGAGACAACGTTTACTAAAGATACATTGCAAAATATCCCACTTTCTGGAGGACTGTCACTTTACTACTTTCTTTAAAAGCAAAGCTGCTTGGGTTTTATAGAATACCTGTCATTTCAATCTGTTTCCAAATATCCCTCTCTCCTGCCTACAAATGTATGCCACGTTTCATTTTGAAAAGCTTTTGCTGGGTAGCCTGTCCACACTTGCTCAGTCTTATAATAAAATGGCTATTTTGCTCTTTTGAAAGGCCTTTTTTGACTATCAATGTTTCAGTCCCTGGATTCTTTCCAAATTAAAAAAAACTCAAGGGGGTGCCATTCTCTTTAAACATATGCAAAATTGGTCTTTTCAGTGTATGTGATCTGTTTTAAATCTGGGGACATTTAGGTTTTCCTATTTCTGAACTGGGGGGCTAGA